CGGTGTAGAGGAATTGTCGTTCTTGGGTCACCATGTGAGCGCAAGGGGTCTGGCACCCCTCAAATCAAAAGTGGACGCGATTATCAATGCACAGACGCCAACGGATTTGGTGGGGTTGCGTTCTTTTCTTGGGCTCATGGGATACTACTCTCATTTCCTCCCTCATTATTCAGAAGTGGTGGAGCCACTGCGGCGCCGTCTTCGTAAGGGCCAGGAGTTCATCTGGGACCAGAACGCTGAGGAAAGCTTCGGCAAGGCTAAGAACCTACTGGCGTCGTGCAGCGCGGTATCCATGTTTGACCGGTCCTTACCTGTACAGGTAACAACTGATGCATCGGCATATGGGCTGGGAGCGGTACTGCAACAGGTAATCGACGGTGAGACGCGTACGATAGCATTTGCATCAAGGACGTTGACGCCACAGGAACGCAAATACTCTACGGGAGAACGAGAAGCCCTGGCATGTCTGTGGGCTTGCGAGCACTGGCATGTGTACTTGTGGGGCAGAATTTTTGTGCTGCGAACGGACCACCAGGCATTGGTAGCATTGCTCTCTACTAATGGCACCGGAAGGCGGCCACTTCGGATAGAGCGATGGTGTGCAAGGCTGATGAGGTACAATTTTACTGTACAATACACGAAAGGAGAAGATAATGTAGTCGCTGACGCACTCTCCCGGTTGCCCTTGCTGTCCACAGAGTGCGACCCAGTAGAGGAGGTCATTGCTGTGGTGTCAAGCGTGGTAACAAAGAACCAATTGCAAGTGGAGACAGAGAATTGGACGGCGTGTTACGGGAAGTGATGCAGTATGTCACATCTAGGTGGCCAGAAAAGAAATGTCTGCCAGGAAAGCTACTATCATTTTGGCGGATTCAAGAAGAGCTTTCTGTTTTGGAGGGGGTGCTGTTTCGTGCAGAGCGGGTGGTGCCTCCATCGACATTGGTGTCCAGATTCATCATGATGGCCCACGAATCGCATCCGGGCATCGTCAGGACAAAGCAGCGACTCCGGGAGCAGTATTGGTGGCCTGGGATGGACGAAGACGTGGAAAACTGCATTAGAAGCTGCGCTGTATGCAAGGCATCAGACAAGTCTGCAAAGACCGCGGTGGCCCCTCTACAACCAGTGCAATGTCCCGAAAAGCCCTGGGAAAAGCTGGGCATGGATATTGTGGGCCCGATGGAACGAGCCCCTCCAGAGCGCAGATTTGCAGTAACTGTGATTGATTATCACAGTAAGTGGCCGGAGGTTTTTTTTGTGTCGTCGATAACTTCTCAGTCGGTGACGAAAGTGTTACTGGAGCTATTCGCGAGGGAAGGATAGCCAAAGAGTGTTGTCACTGACAATGGAAGACGATTTATGTCGACACATTTTGAAGGGTTCCTACAAGACAGAGGAATTGAACACTGTGTGGCCTCGCTGTACTACCCGCAGTGCAACGGTCAAATAGAACGATTTAACCGCGTCTTAAAAGAGTATATTCAGGTGGCGGCACTGGAGCGGAGACCACATAAGGAGGCGATTCTGGAATACCTGAGTATTTACAGGGCAACTCCCCATGCGACCACAGGCATGTCTCCGGCGTTTTTGCTACACGGAAGGCGGCCACGAACAAGACTGGACGTCGTGGGACTACCGGAGAGAGCGTTTTTCGATAAACCGCGGCCTCACGTCGCCGAACTGCAACGCCGTGTCAAAGAGCGACAGCAGAGGACAAAGAAATACACCGATGAAAGACGGGGTGCCAGGCACTCCATCATTGAACCCGGCGACTTCGTAAAAATAAAGAGGTGGGGAGGACCAAAAGGACAGTAGAGGTTTTCTTTGCCAATAGAAGTAAAAAAACGCGTGGGAAAAAATTCCTTCCTTTTAGACAATGGGAAGAAATGGAACGCTGCCAAATTGACAGTAGTGGCCAAAGGAGGAGCACCAGGCGCCCGGAACTTGGTAGACAAAGTTATGGAACGACGTGGAGCGGTAAGAGACCAGTTATGCGACATGGATTTGCCCACTGAAGAGGGGGCATCACAACCACCATCACCACGGGACGTCGCAACTGCCAGAACCCCAGAGACATTATCGCCAGGTGACGACAGCGCTACCGTCGCTACGCACGGAGCGGAAGCTGCACGGGGTGCTGAGACACTTCCAGACGCTACACTTCAGGAGACTGAAATCTTGTCGACACCAGCAGAGTCGGCGCCAGCTCCAGAGCAAGTCGAAGCGCAGGACACCTCCGGCCAACAGGAGTTGTTGACCACGGCACCGTCGTACAGCAGGCCTCAGCGACAAAGAAGAATGCCCGGAAAATACAATGATTATGTTTTACACTAGAATTATCTGTGATAGTGGTTCCAGAGCTATGTGAATAACTGTAATTATTGGTGAAAGTTGTGTTCTAGTTACTGGGGTTTTGTTTGTTTAAAGGGGGAAATATGTTGTGTATAGAGGGCGCTGAACTCATGCATTACCAATTGTATATAAGAGCATCACCATCGGCATAAAGATCAGTCAGCGTCCAGCGCCTGCTTCGTGTCAGTTCTTGTTCTGCGGCCTTCCGGCCGCGTTCGCCGGTCTACACCACACCTCTCTTAAATCCAGGCTCTCTAGTGTTCTCTCGTCGTAAGCAGTTACCGAGTGAACGCAAGAGCGATGACTTTTAAATGAGGAGCTCTATAGGGAAACAAACCTCGGGAACTGTGGAAACGCGAACTGTGTAGGTCGGTTAGTCCGTAATCGCTAAACGATCTTTAAGATAAATAAATAAATAAATAAATATATATATATATTAAAAAAAAAGAAAACATCGACCGGTGTTAGGGATTGAACCGCGCTCACCGGCGTAGAAGTCGAGTGCGTTGATGACCGAACTACGGGAGTGAACGGGAGGATGAGACGCGGATGGTTTGAGAAAGCGTGCGGAGCTGAGAGGGGTGGAAAAGGCCAAAACGAGAGCAGAAAGGAGTGGTCTGGAAAGAGCACCCTGAACTAGGAGTGGAAAGTGCAGGAAAGCGCGCTTTATTTCCCTTGGCGACCCAGAAATTTTAACGCAAAGGCTTCGTAACTCGGTCGTGCTGAAGGGAAGCGCGCGCTGCGTGACAAAGACACAGTGGTGTGACGTAATCTTTCCATAGAAAACCCTGCCCTATAGGCACCATCTGAGCAAAAATCACCACCCACCCCAGGTACTCAAACGTTGAGGGTCATCCTGCCCAAGGCACCACCCGAACTAAGAGCACACCGACCCTATAAAGTTACCGCATTTAATCTCGTTTGACAGAATGACCGAACATGCAACCTATTTGTTTCTGAACCACTCTATTGGAAGGTAAATTTCTCCGTCGGTTTCTGCGTTGGCCCCCTATGACAAATGTCACTATCCCCATCGCCAATGTGCTCACCTGCTAGCTCACCAGTGCCCTTGGCAAGGGATGTGGTGCCTCCTTCTACACGGGACCCCTTGGTTTTGAGGTTGTTTGCCCTTTGGTAATGCTCTACTTCCTCCTGCCCGCTAGTTAGTTGGTACGTTTCCGTTTTTCAGTTCTGGTTGTATCTTGTCAGATGCTGCATTTCTCTCGCTGCCCTTTAATCTCTTCAGATACGTATTTGATTCATCGCGCGTCTTACTACAAAAGTCTACTCTGTCCTTACGACTTCTTAATTCGCTTCTGATCAGAGGACGCGTGTCTTCAGTCACCTTAGTAAATTGTTTTAGCTTCCTAACTCATTTTAGAAAGTCGAGGCTCGAAAAAAATCTGCGAAACAGATCAACATGTTGTGAAACTACCGATCAGAAAATTGTTTGTCTTCGGCGCCGATGCGCAATCATAAGAGGAGGATAAAGGAAATATTGGTACTCATTTCCACCAGTTTTTCACCAGCAGAAGTATTCCGGACTAGGTGCGTGGTCGTCGTGAACCGCTGCCGAACTGAGGGAAATCCGTCATGCTGTCTGTTTTTATGTCTTGCTTGAGTCGTAGAAGGCACTGGGCTGCAGGCATTAATCCTGTTTTTGCAACACCACGTGGCGGTTGACGAGGTACCGCGTGAGCACGCGATGATCTGATTTTCCACAGCGCTCCGGTTTGACAATAACTGAAAACAGGAAGTTGCGAAAAGGTGTGTGTCCTTTGTGCACTACTGCCGAACGCGAAATGGTAACCTATTATTTCAATGGGATATTATAACGGGTACTTCAGCGAACACTTAGGAAGCTTCCTGACACGATGAAAAAGCGCGCGCGCGGTTTTTCTGTCTCTTATCATCCGCGTTTTCTCCCCTCCAGTCTTGCTCCCTTTGCACGAGCGCTAACTTTAACGCAAGACCGCACTTCCCACGCACCTCAAGCATTTTTAAAATCTACTTATTTTGTGGTTTGCGATGACGCTCCACGGGTTTCTAATTGGAACCATATGTTTACTTTCTCACAAGCTAACAAGATAATTACAAAGATTTAGTTAGTTATCCGACTTATCATGACAATTGACCCCATGTATCATGTCCCCCTGGCCATATTGCCCACAATCACAAACCCGCATTTCGGTAGCCTTCACCGCTTTTTTTAAGCTGTAAAGTCTAAAACAATACCCTGTATACTGTATACACCGGAGCCGTAAATTGTTGGCGGCAAAGGCATGCCGGCAAAAGAAACTGCTTTTTTTTTTTTCAGTTGATGCACGGTTAAAAGTTGTCCTCGCACAGGTGTTGCTTTAATAAAAATGCCATGGATAACCTTTGCGTCATTGCGCTCTTATTTTACGGTTACTGAATCAGGTACGAGCAGGTACAGACTGAAAAAGGGCGCGTTCGAGCGGAAAAGCTACCCTATATTCGCTAAACGCCGAGAGGCTCTAGCGAGGGGCCTCGTCGTATCCGCTGGTGCTCCGTAGAAAGTGACAGTGTCTCATATCTGCGTTTTCCCCTGGTCGGGAAAACGTCCTGCGAAAACCATGCTTCATACATTGTTTTTTGCTGTTCTCGTCTGCGTCGCCGCGACGGACATGGAAGATGGACCGGTTGTCGAAACGAAGCTGGGGCAACTTAAAGGAGGGGTACAAACCGTCTCCGGAAAAACAGTTCAAGTTTATTTTGGGATTCCATACGCAAAGCCGCCTATTGATCACCTTCGCTTCCGCAGACCACTACCTTCAAAGCCATGGTCCGGTACCCATGATGCCACCGAAAAGAAGTTTTCCTGCCCTCAACAATTCTACCCATTGCTGTTCGACATTGAAACGGACCTATCCGAAGATTGCCTCTACCTGAATGTGTGGACACCCAGTACAGTGAGACCGACGCGACCGGTCGTAGTATGGATTCACGGAGGAGCCTTCGCCTTCGGCAGTTCTTACCAGAGCTGGTACAACGGATCTCTGCTGGCAGTAATGCATGACTTGGTGGTCGTGACCATCAATTACCGCCTCGGTATGTTCGGTTTTCTCGACGCCGGAGTTCCTGACGCTCCTGGTAACGTTGGTCTCCTGGACCAAAGACTAGCTCTGCAATGGGTACGAGAAAATATCCACGCATTTGGCGGGAACCCGACGAGCGTGACCATTTTCGGCGAAAGCGCCGGCGCTTACAGCGTGCACGCCCACATCATATCTCCCCTGAGCAGGGGCCTCTTCCACAGAGCGTTCAAGATGAGCGGTACATACGATTCCATCGGGCTGCTGAGCACCTTTCATGGAAGTGCAGACCAAGGAAGTCAGGTGGCTGCGAGACTTATATGCACGGCACCGTTCCTCGACCTGACTAGCCATCCGGACATTGTATTAGAATGCCTACGCAGCAAGTCGACGGATGCACTATTCGCTGCTGTGAGGAACGTTACTGACCCTAAACTTGCTTCGTTCGTCCCGACCTATCCGAACGAGTTCTTTCCAGTTCGACCAGTTTTGGCACTGAGGCAGGGTAGGTTCGCGGACGTCGACGCCATGGTTAGTGTCACGCGTTCGGAAGGCACCGTCATTGTGACATCGCAGCCAGACAAACGTTTCTGGGACGAAGATTTGAGCAATGTTTCGGTGGAGGAACTGAAGCCAGCTCTTCGAGAAATGGTAGTCACGTGGATGGGAGACAAGTACATTAATCTCGTGGAGTATTACGCGGCACAGGCGGTACAGGGTAACAAACAGGAGTTAAGGGAGATGTACACCGAGTTTTTTGGTGACTTTTGCTTTGTGTGCCCCATGAAATATTTTGGCCAGAAACACTCGGGAAAAGGAAACTCGGTCTACTCATTTGTATTCGGCCACAGGTCCGCCAAGTCGACGTTGCCGATGTGGAGTGGCGTCCCCCACCTGGCGGACGTTCCATATTATTTCGTTTTTTTCAATCGGTACTCAAAAAAAAGTCAACTGGACGCACGCATGACTGTCGTGGACGACCTGCCCGAACTAAGGGTGACTTATGCCCCCCCCCCCCCCTCCTCTCCCTTAAGGAAAACGCTGCGTGGCGTGCATCCGGTCGTTCTGTCCTGAGCGGTTTTCTCTTCCCAGCCAGGTGCTAGGAGTATGAGCAAGATTCAGTTCTCGCGCTCGCGAAGCGTCACGTGTTCGAGGATGTACATTACAGTTCTACCAAAGCCGGTCGAACAAGCCGGGCCCGCAATTGATCCCTTTACGACCGCGAAACTTCACGTGTTGAGGATCTATTGCACATCCTGCCCAGGCAAGACAAACAAGCAGAAAAACAAGCTGGGAAGCCAACAACGCCATGGTTACTTGTTCCAGTATTCGGCCCGTACAAATGGACGAGTTCACGACTATGAAAGGCAATCTCGCTGGAAAGTTCGGGTTAAAAGTAAGCTCCAGTGGTGAAGTCTTTAACTCGAATGAAGTCCACTGCATTATCTGCAAAAAGCCGTTTTCATACAGTGGAAGCGTACGTTCGCTTCAGTATCACCTACGAGCGAAGCACCCATGTACGTCGCTGCAGCAAGGGCCATCCGCCAAAACGCAGACAACAATCAACGACAACAATCGAGGTCCCTTTCTCTGAAAAAAGAAGAAAACATCGCCGAAGCCCTGACTTCTTGTCTTCCTGTCGGAAAATGTGGACAAACTTGTTTGTCTTCGGAGCTGGAGAAAAAATATGTGAGTCTTGGAATCGTTGAACTATATGTATCCTCAATTGTAAATGTCCTTTGCGCCATGTAACAGAGAGTAAAATAAGTCTTCAAAGGCAAGACGACTTGTTGCCATTCTTTTTAATATATTATTTATAAAAATCATCGCAACCGAGTAATCGATTAATTAATCGATTAAAGGGTGGCGATTAATCGGGTTAAAATTTTTAATCGACGCCCAGCCCTAATTATAATGCAATGAATAGAAAGGTGCAAGGGAGCTGTACAAGAATTTTCGAGAGGTTATGTTCCTCAAGTAAAGTAGCAAGTACGCCGGGTGCAACGTACTTCAAACAAAGTAGTAAGTACACCGGTCGCAGTGTACTTGAAGTGAACTATTATAAGTGCCATGTACTTTCAAAGTACAGCTCAAGTACTTCTTAGCAAAATATTTTGTGATACCCTTTTATTTCCCTATACCGTGTCTTTTTAATTTTTATGCATTACTCCAGGGACCCCAGAGGTAATCCCGGGGGGGGGGGGGGGGGGGGGGGGAATTAGTCATTTTCATAAATATCGGCGAATATTGGATAATCACGACTGGCCATAATGTCGTTGCTTTCGGAAGTGGGGCCAAGTTCAGGAGTCCCTCAAACCTTTTAGGTTGTCGCCGCTTGCATGCACCCAAGGTTGTTAGACGTGCTAGGAAAGAGCACGACGTCAGCCCCGTAGCTTCCGCTAGCAATCCACTCGTGGATTAGTTTCCTCCTAGTAGTTTTAACCTCCTCGCTCGTGCTAACCGAGCGAAAAGTAGTAAGAGTTCAAAATGCTGAGGGTAAGCCGTCCCGAGTACAAACGAAGAGACGCCTCGAATGCTCGCGTTTCTGGTGAGAGTAGAATATCACTTCCAGCATTTTTAAGAGTAGACAAAGCATTACGTTTTGGTACAAACTTAGCAAGACCAAATTTGCGGAATGTACTTTGAAGTCGGGAGTTATACTTTATTGGGAAGGTACCACAAAGGATACTTCAAGAAAAGTACAAGTACATGCTCAGAGAATGGACTTCAGGTAAAGTACAAGTTTTCTAAATCTACTTCAAGTATTTCTTAAAGCACAATTTACCTAAATTACTTTCCAACCCTAGATGTAGCCAACATGGCGAAATTTAAAATTTTAAAATGGTCCCGTTAAAAATGATGTCATAGAAATTGGTTCCAGTTGAATTTTGAAACTTGTTTGCTAGCGCTTTGCTAGACGCTCTATTCCTTCGACTTGGTGCCACTGCTAATTGAACTCTCGAAAAGCTGCTCTCGTCTTGCAAATGTGTCCTCCTGAAAAAATCTTTCTTTTTTTTTTTTTTTTTTGTGGGTATGTTGTGCAAATTTGCTATCTTGTGAGACATCCAAGCCAGATGATCTTGAACTCGAACGTCACCAGCAAAGTTTGAATAATAAATCGCTTTTGCGAATCCTCATAGCGACGAGATTTCGCGTTGCTTGGTAGTGTGTAGTGTTGCACATTCCCCTTTCAGTTATATAGTGCATGGAAAGGATAACGTCACGGTGTCTTGCAGCGGTTCAGTTTGGGTTTGCACAAACAAAAGACAACAAACTAGATACCTCAATTGGAACCAGCGCAGAAATAAAAAAGAAACAGGCGAATCTGCTGACGTGACAAGCGCTTCTCCCTTCTACACCTTTTTCGGCTTTGTTATTTGTGCGCTGTCTTCCACTCGATAAACGTAAATTATAAACTTGAAATTGAGACATGATTTGTTCCGAATAATATGTTATCAACCGCGGTGAACAAAGTACAAAAATTATCACTCTAATGTTAAAAAAAATTACTAACGGAAAGTTCCCTAATCATTTTTCTAAATATTCACCTTACTTAACCCTAGTTAGAGGTTTCTTGTCTATCACCCAAGTGGGTGATAGAAGAGCTTTGCTTTAATGAAAAATAAGTTTTGCTTTGTACTAAGCTGTGTGTTCCGTGGGTGCTCTGTTTATAATATACACGGTGCTGAAACGCGGCGAATCCTTTTAGTGACACCTAGAGCGTTGCCAGCATGAACCCGGAATAGGGATCCAGAAAAACCGTCAAGGACTAAAGGCGAGAGCGACTCTTTGGTGGACTTTATTGATAAAGCTAGCCTAGAGACAACTTGATAATTACAACTGCACCTAAAAAAAGTAATCTATTATTACTCAGACTGCTTTTACAAACACAATGATGTTCATTGCTTCATCTTGCTTTTATCCGGCGGTTCCAGGTGTATTGCCAGACCTTCTGACGTAACCTCTATGGTTTCAATCTTTTGAGCAACATTTCGTGGCATCTCAAAGCTTTGGCCTCAAAGTTGAAATGCTTTGCAGAAACTTATATTTTACAGTGGTGGTATGCGTTTCGCGGTGTTGGTGGTGACAACTTTTCATTAAATATAATATGAAAGCCCCCCCCCCCCCCCCTCCCTCCCGCACTTGGTTCTGGTCCCCAAATTCAGGTCCCCGCAGGCTACCGTTATCTTTCTAGCCCGAGCGATTACGTATCGCTGTTGTTCAGGACCCGAGCCGAGTAGGGCAGTCTCCCAGGGGAATGTGGAAGGATTGGGTATGGGTGGGATCTTTCTTCCAGGTGGAGTCGGGCAGGCCCAGGTACTGTGATAGAGCGTGGAGGTCGGGGAGTTGCATCCCGGGCATGTGCCTAGGTAGCTGCGAGAAAACAAGATATGAACTTAGTGTAGGCTTGGGAAAGTCAGTGATTCTATCCGCCTCCAATCGGAAGCCTCGCTTCTGTTTAGGCATATGTGTGGGGGTGGACATGTCGTCCGCCCGTTTCGGTAGTATTCTGTAACCTGAAGGTTTCGAGTTGCCGACTTTATGCATCGTGTTCTTCGGTTCCCTTGCCTGGCCGTCGCCAGTCGCCCCGTACCGGTGTATACTCCATTCACCCTTAAGCTGAGACTAAAAGCTCCGCTTTCAGCGCGAGCTCGCTGGCTTCCGCAGTGCTTTGGTTGCGCGTGCGTGCGCGTTCAAACTTGTGTTAGAAAGGACAGAAAGCTCGCGATGAAGGAGGAGCTTCTAGTCTCCACTTAAGGATGAACAGAGTATAGTCGAGTTGCCCTCGACCAACTCCCCTTCCCCATGCTGGGCTGTTCGGATTTGAGCCCTCGAGAGAGAGAGAGAGAGAGTTTGCACTCTCACTACTCCGAAGGAGAGTGTAGCCGGGTGTCCAAAGTACGTGGATCAGAGGGAGTTTTTTGGGGGTTAGCTGGGCTAGTGCTGCTCTACTCCATTTAGACAGGAGTCCTCCTACAAAGGCCCCGCAAACAGCCTAAGAGTCGGTGAGTTCGGCAACCTTTCGTTTCGGATCGTCTCTTTCCTTGTGTTGGGTGGTACCTGCAGCTAAGGTTATCGCCGCCTCCTCCGCCTCTACAACGGACGGTGATCCGAGCAGAGGTGCTGCGCCTTGTCTGCCGCCGTTCGGGCCGCACGCCGCGATCTGACGTCGCTTGAAACTTTCAGGGTCCAGCTCGAAGTTTATAATCCTACAGCCCTTCTGTATATACGTTTTGGCCATATTTCATCGGGTTCATTTTATCTGGCCTACTTTAAATCACGTTGAGAGGTTGGCGCGCAAATCAGGCAATGTATTCTCCAATGCTCGCCACAGACATACCTAAATGGCGTTCAGCGTTACTTTCACTGAGCACCATTTTGCTGAGCGTAAGAAGCAATGACGACCCTATGACTTTACCTTATCTCACACATTAAGGTATTTATGATTAATGAATAATAATTAAAGAATATGTATTAGGCCGTCAAAACAAAATTTAAGCTGACATAAAAACCGTTAAAACTTCGCCACCCGCAAAAACGCATTTTTTCTCTCTATACAACAGGGAGAACCACTAACTTTTGCGGAGAAAACCGCTCAATCGGCAACACTGGATAACCGTCCGCACGTAGGTTTGAGCGAGTGTTCGCGTCTTAAAGTTGCAATCTAGCGGCGAATTCGAAGATTTCCCCTATAAGTTTTGTACGGGAAATCTTCGATCTTGGAAAAACGTGCGATAAATCCGCGGCTGGGCACGAAAACATATTTGTTGAAGAGTTTCTGAAGCACAATCGAAGTCTGGGAAACCCTAATACTGAACAATCAACGTGTCTGCAAACCTTAAAAAAAAAAAAAGAAAAACCGTGAATGTTTAGGGACTTCGGTGAGTCTGAAAACGTCGAGGGAGAGTTGGGGAGTTTACTTATCCCTGTCAACATTGATCAGGGAAATATAGTGTTCCTTTCTCCGACTGATAGCGAGAAAAACGTGTCTGGCGTGACTGGCATCACAGGTGACCCAGCCGGCGTGCCTACGTACATTTCTGCTCAAAAACATATACTTGGGCGAACCCGAAAGTTGAACCCCGATTGCCGCCTCTTGCAACGCGCAAACCAAGAAATTTTTTTTTCTTTCTCATTAAAAAGTGACTAATTAAAAAAAAAAACAAAAAAAAACTAATTCGTCGTCCTACGGGTAGTCTACGATGCCGTGTCATCTACCAGTGGACTTGCCGACATTAATTCTACGAAGAAGCTGCGCTGGTGCAAATGGTGCGTGGAACGCGTGTTGTAAAGAGGAATTCAGGAAACAAAGCCAGAAAAAGCTAAGGTGATATAAACCAAAGCATTTCGATAGAGTCGTGAAGGAGCTTGCGAATATTAGAAACAAAGATTTCTGTATGAATTAAGAAGGGTCACAGGAATTTTTTAGTCAAAATGAAATTAACACTCTGAATCAGTGAAACAAAAATAAGATGGTCGATTCCCATGCAGGTGAAGCTCCGTCGATGTTAATAGACTTTAAGCATATTATAAATCTATTTTAGCGCTCGTCTTCGATCTCTACTATTGGGCACTTGCATCTTCTGTATAACTAACCGTTTGCACTTGTTTGCAACTTTAAATTGCGGAATGTTAATTGTTCAGCTTGAATATATAAAGGCGTATTCATATTGATATTTATTTTACATGATGAGAGCTTTTGCGCCGCACGAAGGCAAATCCCCCATAACAAGGACTGTGGCGACGCTTATAACAATAAAACCATGGTATTGTGTAGTTGAAAAAAAATATTGACGGTTTAAGTGCAGATTGTTGGGCGAAGGTGAGAAAATAATGTAGCGGATGACAATGTTTTTTTTGTTATCTTTGCTTTGACTGGTTGTTATGTGGTCTCGCGACGCTACAACATTGTCATACACAGACCGGACATTGCGGTAGCACAAGGGACGAGACCAGGGCTTGTAGCACGTAACCGCCAAGACAGCCAGATGAAAAGCTCCAGGGTACAGATTCATCTGGCGTCGCACTACGTTCGAGGAGGAAAGAAGGAGGGAAAGGAGGAAAGCAAGGAAGGAGAGGAGGATTAGAGAGAGAGGAGGAGGGGGTCAAAAGGAAACTGGGAAAAAGCCCCCGGAAAGTTTGTTGTAAAAAAAAAAAGAGGGGCCAAAAAGAGGAAAACAAACTAAACAACCCTTTCAAATAAGTTTGGAAAGCAGATTTTTACCCAGGATTGGCCCAGTCCCGAAAAAAACTATAATTCACGTTGTGAAATACAATAACAAAACAAACCCCATTCCAAATGCTAAGAAAGCAGCTATACGAAATCAAAACCATTAACCTAGTACGTTCTTGAAAACCTGAGAAATAGGCCCCTTTGTGAAGAGCGCACGCTTATTGCTCCTGTGCTCGTTGCCTTTGCTTCGAAGCGCGCGCCCCCGATGACCCTTCTTTGCGTCGTCACGAGAAGAGCAGTACGGCCTTGTCTTCTAGGAGGTGTCGGCCCTAGGGTGCCTACATGTTTCCGCTGCAGCGGAGCGGCGGAAACATGTAGGCACCCTAGTTGGCCCTCCCCAGTTTTCTCCTCACCCCCTCTACCTTTCTCTCTAATCCTCCTCTCCTTGCTTCTTTCCTCCTCTCAAGTCCTCCTCTCCCTCCTTTTTACTCCTCCTCCTCGAGCGTAGTGCGACGCCAGATGATTCCGTACCTGCTCCTCCGCGTCACATCAGTCCTGTAGCTTCAACATTCAGCTTGCGAGAAACTCAAATATATAAAGCGACTGCGAACTGCGCGTACGTACAGTAGCGATGTGCGCACTGTTCAAGGGGGACAGACCCATTAGGTGAGAGGCGTCGTTGTGTAACAGCGCCTTCGGATTGTCACAATC